TACCCCAACAGGGATCTTAATTGGGGTTATCATACTTAGATGCCTATAAAATCACTACTTACTAAGTCCCACGTCCCTCCAAGTAGACTGCCCCCACGAAAGTAGGCCGCGCCTTCCTTCAGCTCGCGCCCTTCTCGTAGAGCCTGCAACTGTTCATCTGGAGTCTTCTGATGAGGGTTTACCTGGACCCTAAGGAACCTACCTTTTTAGGGTTCCCTAATATGATTTCTTTACATAAGTCCTTAAAAAGGTAGGTTACTTGGGGTTAAGGTAGGGTTTACGGGTTTAGGGGTTTAGGGTTCAAGGGTTCAGGGGTTTAGGGTTTAGGGGTTTAGGGTTCAAGGGTTTAGGGTTCAAGGGTTTAGGGGTCTAGGGTTCAAGGGTTTAGGAGTTCACCGGTTTAGGGTTTAGGGGTTTAAAGTTTAGGGGTTTAGGGTTTAGGGGTTTAGGGGTCTAGGGTTGAGGGTTCAAGGGTTTCAGGGTTTAGGACGCGGGCTTGCCAAACATGCGCACTAGGGCGCACAGAGCAACCAAGCCAAACCTGAAAAACATGCATTCGATCTACTTACGACCCTGAACCCTAAACCCCAAACCTCCTAAACCCCAAAACCCTAACCCCTAAACCCTAAATCCCTAAACCCTAAAACCCTAAACCCCAAACCTCTAAACTTTAAACCGCGAAACCCCTAAAGCCACTTTGAGCAGCCGATATCTACGACTGAGGCCGAGATCGGCCTCGGGCAGGAGCCGTGCGACCTGCCGAGGGGTATGGAACCCTGGGGAAACAATACTATTAATGCCAGTGCTAGTACTGCTAGTAGTAATGCTACTACTATTATTATCATATAAATACTACTAAATAAATATATATATATATATATATATATATATATATATATACATATGGTACCCCCCCCCCCGCAAAGACCAAGATTTCTATATGAGCTTTAGATACAAGCCTACTTACACTAGCCGATAGTCGTTGGTCTTTGGGGGGCAGGGTGCCAATAACAACCCTGTTAAGGTGTAGGGACAAACATGCATGACGCAACCCCCTTGTGGTTTTCATACAAGCCTGCATACAATAATCCTTATACCATTTCCTGTCGCACATTCCAGGAGGCCTATTGAATTCAATAGGCCCTATTGAATTCAATAGGCCTTCTGGATTGAAGATTGAAGATACCCTCAAAAAGTTTCTGGGGAGATCTTCAATCTTCAATCCGGGAGGCCTATTGAGTTCAATATGCCCTATTGAACTCAATAGGGTTTATCTTGAAATCGATCATGAGGGCCGTACGTGGAAGTGTGAAAATTGGGTTCAGGGGTCAAAGTCTACCGCTGCGTTTGCGTACTTTGGAGTACACGCATATGGGTTTTAAGGGCTATGAAGAGAAAGTCATCAACTGGACGTATGATACTACCTTTAAGCTTCCCTAAACGTATTCTTTTGATTTACGCCCAGCTTAACATCAGATAACACTATACTAGTTTTATGCAACAAATGCAGTTGGAATACTAAGAATATAATCGAGGGCTCAATCTATCGGACTGTATACTACTGAGGTATCAAAAGCACATACTTTAACGTCCATGTAGCTAGCAATCTATGCATGAATGTATATATTATATGTTCGATACAATTATTGGAAAGACTACTAAATGCACCGTATTATTATAATACTTAGAACTGATTTGACATCAGTAAATAAACACTCCGCCCAAATATGTCCGAGGATCTGGCCTATCCAGCTGTTTGCGTACTTGTGAAAATAATATTCTACAGCTATATACTAAGCTACATCTTCATATAAGTATAACGTTGTCACTACTGCGAATATATTGCTTTCTGAGATCTAATCGGCAGACAACAAACCCTCTATGCTGCTTATATATGTAAATCTGACGATTGTTAGCTCAGCAAGCCCTATGCTTGAATTGATCCGAGGATTCAATTCAATATACCCAATCATCTAGTTACCAACATACAGAATAATCATGTTTCTGCAGTCAGTAATCCGTATAAGTATGTCATTATCCCTGGGTGTAGTGATATCATATGAAGCATTATAAATATAGTTTTCTGTCTGTTCGCGTTAACTGGCAAGGCACTTCATGAATAGCTTAGTTGTAGAGAGATTTCTTCAGGCTGTTTGGCTCCTATTCAAAAGTATAGCTTCCAAGGTTCTACTATACTGCTATTATTACGCAGCTATCTGGGTAAATCGCAATAAGGAATCTCAAGCCATATTATTTGCAATTAGCAGTTAACAGACCCTGTAAATTCGATTGTATAACCAATTGCTGAGTACTTAACCTTATATTTCCAAGAATGAAATGGTGCATGCTAGATGGTAACACCGAGGTCTTATACTTAATAGGCATGTTTAAACTGTAAGACTATATGCTTGATGTCTCAAACATATAGTCTAAGAATACATGTCTTTGTAGGGCCACATCTGTAGTAATTAACAAACCCTGGAAGTTCAATTCTATATTCAGCTGGCAAATAGTTAACCTTTTCTTTTCGCATATAATAAATGGTACACACTAAACGATGGCATCGAGGTACTATGCTTGGAAGGTGTTTTTAAACGTTACAAGTAGCTTCATTTCTTAAAATTAATAGTATAAGAATAAATGTGTTTGCGGGGTTGACCACATACTACAACTGAAGCTAATAAAGCACACGGCATGGGGCGAGTTTTCCATACGAAGTAAGCCGTCAACAGAATCTGGCACTTGAATGGAAAACGTTTTGGTCGTGATCGCGCTTAGAATGGCTCTGGGAGAGAAACCAAAAACAATACCAACAAAAACAAAAAACAATACCACTAAAAACAAAAACACTGTAGCAAAGGAAGCAAATGAATCAGACGCAGCGGACGAAGCGGTCAGACTTACTTTTACCAGTCCAGGAGCCCATGCATGTGCGCGCCAAAGGCGCTTAAGCGCCGGCTTATAAACCCCAGGACTGCCAGCCGAGAATGCAAGCGCTTCCATGCCTCATGCTCATCACTGGAAGGATTCATTCAGAGGCCTGAGGAAGCATCTCAAAGCTTGGCCTGGACATACAATTACGATTGATCAGGACTGGAAATATTGAAAGACATATCTGAGCGGCCATGCTTTATGCTGGAGTGGCCACCTTCTTGTGATCTATACTTCGCATCCGAATCAGACAGCTGGAAGGAATATGGATTGGAGATATTTTTGTCAAAAGTAACGGAGACGATAAGAGGATATAGGATGTAGGAATGAAAAATAAAATTCAATATCATAGAATCGGAGTATATCGGAGATAAGAAAGATGGTGCCCGGCGGGCTTCTGTGCAGAAATCCTGTGCTGTGCCTGAAGCCGCTTCTTCTGAGCAGTACTTCCCGGAGCCTTCCTGTCTAAAATCCCTGAAACTGAGTAAAGTACGCCGAAGCATCTAAACGAAGGTGCAACTGCCTCGAAAAGGACAGACTTTGCCCCGGAAAGGCTTCAAGCCCTCGCATCCTCTGTAGCTACAGAATAGATAACCAGAATTGCCGAACCCAAACAGCAAATAGGGGGGGGCCCTAAACCCTAAAGTGACAAGGAAGGGCATACAGAAAAGGAAGGGCTTGCATTCTAGTTATCATTCGTGGTGCGGGTACTGTGCGCCAGCCGATGAAGGACGCAAGTAAAGAACAAGCCACTGCAGTGGCCTTGGGGGCCAGAATCGGGACTCCGGTCACCGCCTCTAGATATTCGGACCAGTCCCTGTGACTGATATGCAGGGTGAACCATGCTTGGAGCACGTCAACAGCTCTTTGAACGGAGCTCGGGAGGATGGCTGGGGGGGGCTAGAACAACACATACCTCAAAAGAAACCCGTACAAAACACAACAACTATGAAGAAGCAACCCGAGCCACCGTTCACTCAGAACTGCATGTTTGCAGCCAAATCGGCTACCATCTTGGCTTTAGCGGCTATCCGTGCCGGGGGAGCCTTCTCTCCTTTTCCATATCGATTGATGACCGCATCGAGCTGTTTACCGGACGCTTTGAGTGTGCCTAACTTAGAGGACAGATCATCAATCGACAGCGGGGAGGAGCCTAGGTCGACCTTGTGTTGCAGCTCAGCCTGGAGTACACGCAGGGCCGCCGGAGAAACAAGGATCTGTTGCCCCGCTCCGGGGTTTGGTGACATGCCTGGGGCGTGCTGCCACAGCGCTTGGCCCGGCATAGGAACTTGAGCCTGCGCTTGTCCTTGAGCGCCGGGCAGTGGAGGAACTCCCTGCATCTGCGCAACAGCTGCCAGGTTTGCAGCGTGGCGATGCATTTCGCGTTCTTCCAAGACCGCAGCAATGGCCTGCGCTTGGAGCCTGCGCTCCTGCTGGCAGGCAGCCTCTTGCTTTTGACGCTTGTATTCCACATAGCCAGGGGATGGTTTTTCAGCTTTGGATGTACGCCTGCCTGCCGAACTGGAGCGCGACTTGGAGCCTTTGCGACGGCACCTGTCCTTGGACTTCGGGCGCGAGTCCCCTCGACGAGGCAAGTACGCATACTCTTTGTTCCTGCCGTGCGGATAGTGCCCATGCTTATCATCACTGTGATGGTACCCTGGCCGGCCACCGCGGTTGGAGCCTCGGCCCGCTTCTACCAGACCGAATCCACACAGCAGGAGCAAGAGCATGAGACCGAGGTGCTTGTGACTTGACACCATGGCTAGTAGCACGCTCAGTGCTTGGGACCCAGGTCTGCTTCACTAGAGCCAAAACTCCGCCAAACACCACAATAAATGGTAAAAGGCAGTACTGACCCTCGTCACCTAAAATTTAGGTGACTAGCTTATAGGCATGTACTGCTAGTTTAGGGTCCCAAGATCTGTAGCAGCGCTAAGTTGTAAAGATTTGCCACCGTCTCTCGGGCTTGTCTAGCCGTCTAGTAGCCAGACGCAGCACGTGGAAAACAGGGTTTCCTAGTGGGAGCGTGTGGGCTAAAGCCCTCAGCAAAGGAGCCGGATATCCCTCTAGGACGAGTTCTTGCAATTCTTCCAACATGACTGCTCGCTGCATATATTAGGAGACAGCCCCATGTGTCGAAGCCTCGTTGCTCTGCCAATGAGCATGCCCCGGATCAGGCCAAAGGGGCACTGCAGTCTATCCAAATAGGGAATGTAACGCTCTTTCTTTTTTGCAGCTTTGCCCAAGATCCAATCCCGGTTTGGGTTTTTGGGCGCCCATGCAATTCTACCGGAGACTGGATCTACACGGAATACCAGGTCCGTCCATGTTTGCTCTAGAGCTTCGGGCGAGATCTCGAAAGTGACGGAGTATATGAGAAGATCGTCCACGTAGCGCATGGCAAAAAAAGCGTGAATCATATCCCAGCCATTTGGAAGGTACAGCCTCCGAAACTCCTGGCTCTCCTTCGCTACTTGCTCCTCCTGACAAAGGAGACCAACTGCAGCAATCATGGAGAGCAGACCGCCTATCATGACTCCAGTCGCTCTAACAACCAGGTTTCCCAGTGTGGCAAAGCGGAGAGCGCAGCTGGCCCACAGCATTTTCCGAAGTTGTGCTGTTGTAAACACCACAAACTTGCCAGATCTGGTCGCAGACTGGCCACCGGTCCATCCGAGCAGTTTGCGCTGTCTTTTGACAGTCACTGTCGTCAGACCCTTGCGCAGGCGAAGCCGCTCGGCAGCGCGGTCGAAGGCGAGCAGCACCTTTGTCGTATCAATTTGCTCGTACATCTGTGCAGCATCGGCCACGAGTAGCGTACTTGGGTACTTGGCCGCACCACATTTATCGCATCTGCAAGGATTTGTAGAAGATCGCAACTGATCGAAGGCTTCACAGAATTGCGGAACTGCCGTCTGGAGGTTCCATACAGCAAAACCCGGAAAAGTTGCCTGCACGATGATCTGAATTGCTCTGCCTGCAAGTCTCCAAGCCTTGCGCCACGGCGCATGGTAGAAGCTCACCACCTTCCTCAGACAGGAATGCCCTTGTTTGGCACAGGTCCTACCGCCTGAGGGGGCAAAACACTTACTCTTAACTAAAGGGTACATGTAAGGCGCCATGGATTTAGCCGTCACCGCACCCTTTCGGAGAAAACTCGGCAAAGCAAAAATACTCATCCCATACACCAGTGCACTGAGCTGGTCCGGGGTCATGTCTGTAGGATGCCATCTTGTGCCATCTCTTAGCACCAGCAAAACCAACAAAGCAGACATGACAATGAAGGGCATGCCCCAGGTGCGTTTCCGATCCTTGTCATCCTGCAGCAAGATCTCGTGGTCGTCGGCCTGCATCTGTTGAATGTATGACTGCTCTCCCACTGGGGCGTGCCCCTGCGGCTCCAGGGAGCGCTCTTGGCAAGCTTGCCTGAGGGTCTTGAGACCGTCCAGGCGAGCTGGTCTCGGGACGTGCTTTTGGTGGCACCAGTTTAACAACTCTACGTGTAGTGCTTGTAGCTGTCCACTTCCGGCTTGTTTGTCTTGCAACCCCCAGTTTCCGTGCAACAGTTTCACTTCTTCGGCTCGTTGAAGCCCTTCCAACATGAAAGGGTTTGTGGTACAGACCTGCATGATATCAATTGATTTGGCCGCCGCGACTATGTTCCTCCTGTCAGTATATCTCTTGGCAGCAACTCCAACAAATCTGACTTTGCTAAGGACCCACGGCAAGAGTACCTCGCCGTGCTTGTTTGCCAGACTTTTTGCCGCTTGTCGAACAATCCGTCTGGCGATGTTCAGCGAGCGCTCGTCTGGAACTTTGAAGCACGTCGTTTGCCGACCGGGCAGCCGAAAACGGTGCAAGAGTCTGTCCACGTGCTGGTAGCCTCTGGATCGCCGCACATAGCCTTGCACTTGAGCCACTAAGCATGCCAGACGAACACATGCTTGCGCTGCGGAGCGGCCTCGTAGGAGAGGCGAAAGCAGCACGGAGGCTCCTTTAGTGCAAACCCACGTCGCCAGAAGGCCACCGGATCTCCAGCTGTATGGCGACAGGGGGCCTTTCTGTCCACTGATCACGAACCATTGCTGTTGAGCTCGTCTGTACACCTCTGCAAAGCTGAGTTGGGTCCAAGCAGGGGCTTGGCGGAGCTGAGGGTATGCCTGCACTCGGCGCCGTTCCTCTAGAATACATCGCTGGGTAATCATTGAAGACCAAAGCGTTTGTACCGGAGGCCGCCTAAATCTGGGCAAGGGTCTTCTCCTCCGCGCCTGTTTGGCAGGTTTGGGCTTCGTTCTGCATTGGCCTTGATTTCCATTTGGCCGGAAGGCCCGAATAGCCACTGTCTCAGTTGCTTTGTTGTAGTCGTGTTCTCCGACTTTAGCCACCAGGAAACATAGGTGTTCAAGACGGCCTCGCCTGAATCGTTTAGCCCTCGTGGACTGATGAGCTGGCGAAGAAACACGAAGGATGCCGGATAGGTGTTCCATGATTCGGGCCTTGACTCCTAGTGCAGCATGAGCTCTCTCAAGCAGTGCCTTGCCAATGTAGGTCGTATCCTCAGAAAAC